TGCTTGGGCCTTCGGGTAGCCGTGGAGTCGAGATTCAAGTCTGCCTATGAAGCCCAAAGCGCTCATCTTTGCCTTCATCATGCTCGGCGTACTAGGGATGGGCTCCTTTCCAGCCACCACTTCTTCGCCTCTCCGCATCGTTTCGGCCTGCTCGGGTGTTTCGTCTGCCATGTACCGCAAGTATCTCTGAATCCTCCATCCAGTAACACGGGGCCCGTGGAGATAAACTTCCTCGGGTTTCACAGTTGACCACGCCGCCTTTCTGTTGTCCCCCAGATGGCTTCCAACCTCGTCAGGCGTCATCGGGTTCAGACGCTCCTCCACCGGAACCTCAGTTTTAGGCAGCGTTGACATGAACATGACGACCCACCACCTGTAGTGCAGCCAATACATGACGTATTCTTTTCTGGTTTTCGGAGCGAGATAATCGAAAGCGGTCTTTGCGCGGCGAATCCTGCTGGCCACGTCGGCCTGTTTTCGAACTGACTCGTGCGTAGCTGATGCTGGCCCATCTGCATTTCTCTGAGGCGCGGCCTGCGATGCTTGCCCCTCCGCATTTCCCTGTGGCGCAGCCTGTTGTTCTTGTCCCTCAGCATTTCCCAGTGGCGCAGCCGGCGATCCATGTGCACTTCCATGTGGCGATGCCTGTGATTCTGGGCCGTTCATGTTGCCGCGGGCAGGCTCCCCAAAAAGACATCGACTGGTGGCGTTATCTTCATAGGTTGGCCTTCGGCTAGCATTTTCCTCCCATTCCTCCTCCCACAACGCTCGGTGGGGGTCGTCGTCATTTTCCGCGAGGTCCATGAGCACCCCCGAACGCTGCCCGCCCCTCGGAATTCCGCCCTCACCCACATTTCCCTCGACCCCGACTTCAGGGTTCGAGGCCGGAAAATTTTCCGGAGCATCCACGAACACTTCCCCCGCAACGGCTGGTGCGAATTCCGTGTCCCAATCGCAGTCCCCGGTTAGATTAATCGGGGCGTTGGGCAGTTGACAGTCTGGAAGATCAAAAAACGTCTCATTGTCCTCTAAAGCTGCACTAAGAAGATTCCCCGTGCCACCATCGACATCCATCACGGTCAACAGGTTTCAGAGGACTGTAAGCTTCACATATGCGCGAAACCTATCCTGAAACGCTATTTTTTCGATAATCGAAATCTAATTCGCCTCGTCGAGAATGGGAGAACCATGGAGAATGTTGTGCTGAAAAGAGTCTAGCGATCGGAGTTATTACCGGAGAAAAAAACTATGAATGTGACCCTTCTGATTGGAGAACAGCAATGATGTGAAACGGATGTTCTTTTCAGAGTTGTTTTGCATCTCGAAAATACCCTCAGTTTGCAGAGTACAAACAACCTGGTGCGGGTTCAACCCTCCGCGTGTGTGCAATTCTGAAAGAAGCAATGTATCATGCCATGTTGGGTTGAAGGTATGGAAGCAAGCAAGGCTGATGAACTCAAGAAAGATGTGTTGAAGGTTCAAGGAGGACTCAAGAAATGACATAGAACTGATCTATTTAAGCATTCTGGGACTCAGCCACATGAACATGAGCACCACAACCTCTGACTGCATCCCTTCTTCCCGCCACAGCTTCTCTAGATCTGGTCGCCAGACTCTAGATCTGGTGTTCTTCCCGCTTGTGATAGAGCATCCGATTGGCTGGCTCCTCCACAATTGCGTAACTCTGAGCCACAGCCCTCCCGCAGAGAACGAGTAACTCTGCCACGTGGACCACGGTCGGCGCGCAATGTAATAGAATGTAAATACACTGGATTTTCAATAAAGTAACAAAACACGGGTTGTGGCGAGATTTGAGTTTTTTAAGAAAAGGCTTAAAGTGGCTTTTCTCTTTTTACGATTCTGTTAAAAGTACCATGTCACGATCGAAGAATCCGGTAAAAAGCTCTTCTTGTGGTACCGAAAGTTTATCACGTTTTCGAAATTATTTTCTATTTTGTACTTAAAACGGGTAATCCGCAAAAGATACGACTAATAGTGTATAAACGGGTGTATTCAGAACAGCCGTTTGTCATTATGACACCAAAACAACTGCTGTTCGTGTTGATGGGTGAACGCAAACTGCAAATGTGTTGGATAAAAGCATTAAAGAAATACTTTGTCGTTATTGAAAAAAAACAACCTACTCGTCTGTCTTTTAGCGAATGGCCGAGGTACATATTGCGTTTCAGAACACTGAATTAGGCGGACGAACGCGCAAATAACAAGATCTCGAACAAGCGGAAGATGACGTAATCTAGAAAAACGTGAGGAGCTTACCCAATTTCACTGTAAACAAATGTCTAACACGAAGCTCAATATCGAGTTTCTCGATACTGAGGATTTCGCAAGCTGGTTTCGACGTGTTCGCAGGGATCACGTCGCAACCGTTTGCGCGAAAAATGCACGTCAATTGACGGCTGCACTTTGATGTTGGCGAGAGCACGTGCTTCGCCAGCTACATTGCACGCACGAATCGCTCGGGCAGAGCAGAGTTTCACGGGCAGGCCGAGCCTAGCCCTTGGGGCGGTGGGGGTTGTCTTACTCGGCGCAAGCTTGCGCCGCTTCCGCGTGGGTCGAGTCCCACCTAGACCCAACGAGGTCGACCAGCGTTTTTTCCCTGGCAAATCCGCTCGACCTGCGCGAAAGCCAATATAACTTCCCGAACCTCGTCTCCTCTGAGCTCCTGATCACTCACCCCGGTCCGGATTCGTAAGCTCGGGAAATTCAACTGCACCGTTGCCGCCAGATGAAGCTAGGGATTCCCAAGGCATCTCCTCACCATCTGTTCTTCGTCAGGTAATTACCTTCTGAGTAACCAACTTGGAGCCCAATGACGTCAGCAGTAACTAACGTGGCTCGATGGTACCCGTCAGATCATGCGCGCCCCTTCGTGGTACCCATCTTCCCTTCCTGGTACCCATCTTCCCTTCCTGGTACCCATCTTCCCTTCCTGGTACCCATCTTCCCTTCCTGGTACCCATCTTCCCAGCGTGGTACCCATCAACTGTACGCGAATTCCCTGACTGGTACCGCAACATTTCAACCGAGCAGTACACCGTACAACAAGCATCAGCGCATCAGCATCAGCGCATCAGCATCAGCGCATCCGCATTAGCGCATCAGCATCAGCGCATCAGCATCAGCATCAGTGCATCAGCATCAGCGCATCAGCATCAGCATCAGCGCATCAGCATCAGCGCATCAGCATCAGCATCAGCGCAGCAGCGCATCATCATCAGCGCATCAGCATCTGCGCATCAGCATGAGATTGGGTGGAACGGATGGGATTGGTTGAGATTGATTAGGTTTGGTAAGTGTGGGGTGGGTTGAGAGTGGTTGAAATAATAGTGGATGTTAAACGATGGATGAGAGGTGGTGGGAGGGAGGTGTAAGGATAGTAAAGAGGATGCTGATCCCGTAACGTTCATTTAGGATATAATGAGCTTAAATCGTGTGCATCCATAATGCCAGCCTCTTATTTTTTTCAAATTTAATCGTTGAGTCTAGATTTGTAAGTTTGCTAATATTGTTAGATATTATCCCTATATTGTTTTCGTAGTGACGATGAACATGATTTTGACATAACGCGTGGAAAGGCATTGTTTATCATATCAGGTCATAGGATAACTTCTCTTCTGTCCGAACCTAGTCCGACCTCGCATCAGACCTCCAGTTTCCCTCCGAAATTTTCAAATATATGCTCAGACTAATCCGGCGGCTGCCTCAAACGTACATTTGCTGTTCGTAAAGCCCTACAGTTACCACATTTTGCGTTGTAACACTGACTTTTACAAAAATTCCGGACGCGTGCGGCTCCCGTTCACGTTACGGCACACCCCCTGCACGTACCTCGAATCGTGTGACGCACGTAACTGGAATCAGCGTGCGCATCGAACCTAGGTACAGCACCGCGTCCTGCCCTCTACAGTGAGTGCCCTTCGGATCGCCATCACGATTTCGCCAGTCCCGCCTGACGCTCGCCAAAACCACCTGCGCTCTGGCCTTCGACATTGCATGACATCTCAAATTTAGAAGCGCAGAGGAGGTGTTGACTGGGCGAAATTTGGTTGACGAGGGAACAGGTTACCTCGGTTTCCACCCAGCCGTGACACTGTTGAACTATTTGTGGGGGGAATGTGTCCGTGCACTAGAATTGACAGAAAGGGTGGACTCGACGCAGGTCGCATTCGTTATTAGGTACACTGATCAGTTTTGAACCACGGATCGTGAGGGGGTACTAAATTTCCCGAAATGAACGAGCTGGACACCCCCTCACCAAGGCCCACTACTCTTCGATAATCCGAACCTCGTCTCCTCTGAGCTCCTGATCACTCACCCCGGTCCGGATTCGTAAGCGCGGGAAATTCAGCTGCACTGCTGCCGCCAGATGAAGCTAGGGATTCCCAAGGCATCTCCTCACCATCTGTTCTTTGTCTCCATAGCTTCACCAGCAGATCATTCAGGCTTCGCTCCTAGCTCCAGGTCCAGCTATGTGATCTGCTGGTCGCACTAGCCCTAACTTCACTCGCATACCTGCAGTTTCCTAACGATTGCTCTTAGTTTAGTTTACGCGACTCGGTCTGCCAATTAATAACTGAATCTATGCCAATCTGAGCCGAATATTGTTAGGACGTTGTCAGTTATGGTGGATGTTTTCCCAAGTTAAGACGGATAAAACGTTAAGATGCTAGTTGAGACGCCGTTTTAGTTGAGACGGATCGCAACATTGCTGAGTTCCGTCAATGATGTTTTCGTCGTCAAAACGGCGTAGTCGCTGTTTCCGCCAGAAAAGCAACATCGTCGCTACAGTAGCCGTCGAATCTTAGCTGCTTGCTTAGCTCTCAACGTCTTAACTGCTTTAGCGTCGGAGCCTACCTTCTGCATCCGCCGACAAAGCGACTCCGCTGTTGTTCCTTCCATCAAAACAGCTTCGCTGCCGTTCCCGGCCTCCAAGAAACACCAATGACGTTTTCGCCATTGCGCTAGTGTTTTCGTCGTCAATGCAACGTTGGTGCTCTTTCCCCGGTGAAAAGCGGCATCTGTACTGCTTCCGCTGTAGACACAACGTTACTGCCGTTTCCGCCGTTTACGGCTCCAAAAGCGACGGCGCGGCCATTTCCGCCGACAATAACACCGGTTACTTCCGTTTTCGCCGTCAACGAAACGACGCAGCAATATCCGTTGTCAAAGCGACGTCACTGCTGTTTCCGCCATCGAAACAGCACCGTTACGGCAATAACAACGTTCCTGCCGTTCCCGCAATCAAAGCGACGGAGCTGCAGTTTCCGCCGTCGCACGACGATTGCAGAAGGGCCTTGACCTTGTAAGTGCGATGAGATGAGCTTTCATAGGGGGTCGAGCAGATTTGACGGGGGTAAGCGCCGTCAGCCAGAGTCTCAGTCTGATTTTTCTTGCCTTAGTCGCCTCCCCGTTCCTACCGTAACTGACCGCCAATTTCTTCTGGTCTCTGTTTGTATCATGGCATGCACGCGTGTGAATGGCACGTTGTGTTTCAGGAGTGCCTCCACGGCAGAGACGCGGTGGCGATCGCGACGAGAGCAATGACTGCAGCCGCAGCAGCAACCGAGCGGTCTGGAGCGCCTCATGTGAAGGCACGGCGAGCGGCGACCGGAGCGTGGTATGTGCTAGGAGGTGCTTGCAGGGGGGTCGTGAAGTGAGTCATAGGTGTCGCCGCGCAGAGGCAAGAGTCGCGTCTGTTGCTTGCTGCTCCACCACTCGCTTCCTGCTGCTTCTAACCCTCCCTTCTGTTTCGCTGCTTCTGTTTGGCTCTCCCCATGCGTGTGTGTGCCTCACGGCCTCCGAGGTGGAGAGGAATGGCACAGCGTAGACGCGGAATGGCGCGGAGTGGACGCGGAATGGCGCGGAGTGGACGCGGAATGGCGCGGAGTGGACGCGGAATGGCGCGGAGTGGCCGCGGAATGGCGCGGAGTGGCCGCGGAATGGCGCGCAGTGGAGGCGGAATGGCGCGGAGTGGACGCGGAATGGCGCGGAGTGGAGGCGGAATGCTGCTTGGGGCGAGGCGTGGCGCAGCAGCAACCGAGGAAGCTGGAGCAACGAGCGTGAGAGGCAACGACGCTGTGGTTGTGACGGCGGCAGCAAACGACCGACCAGCCAAGCGTGACGCTTCAAGTGGAGGCGTGGTGCAGGAGCGGCAGAGCGGCGAACGGGTCATGGAAAGTGCCAGGGGATGCTTGCAGGGGGGAAGTATAGTGAGTCGTAGAGCGTCGCCGCGCAGAGGCAAGAGTCATCTCACCTCCACCACTCGCCTCCTCTTGTGCTGCTCCTAACCATTTCTTTGCGCTCCTTGTGTGTGCGTTTTTCACTCTCCCCGTGCTTGTGTGTGCCTCCGAGGTGAATGGCACGGAGTGGCCAGGGACACCCGTTGCTTCCGTTGCTGGCGCGCGCGAGAGACAACCCGCTCAGTGAGGAGAAGGGGCAGCAACGGCTCATTGGCAAGTCAAAGGCGGTGAGACGGTGGCGGTAAAGACGAGAGCAACGACTGCAGCAGCAGCAGCAGCAGCAGCAGCAACCGAGCAAGCAGGAGCAGCACGCCTCAAGTGAAAGCTTGGCGTAGGAGTCGGCGAGCGGGAAATGGAGTGTGGTACGTGCCAGGGCGTGCTTGCAGGGGGGGAGGGAAGGGATTCGTAGAGCGTCGCCGCGCAGAGGCAGGAGTCGCGTCCGTTGTCCTTGCCTCCACCACTCGCCTCTTGCTGTTTCTAACCCTCCCTTGTTGCATCGCTTCTGTGTGGCTGTCTTTCTCCCCATGCGTGTGTGTGCCTCACGGCCTGCGAGACTGACGGCAATGGAACGGAGTGGACGGGGAAGACGGGCTGCTGTTGCTGGCTCACACGGGAGACAACCGGGAGCAGCACGCCTCAAGTGGAGGCGTGGCGCAGCAGGGGTGGTGAGTGGAGCATGGTACGTGCACGGAGGGGTGCTTGCAGGGGGGCCTTGAAGTGAGTGGTAGGCGTTGCTGCGCAGAGGCAAGAGTCGTCTCTCTTCGTTTTGCCTCAACCACCCGCCTCTAGCTGCTTCTAACCCTCCCTTGTTGCATTGCTTCTGTGTGCGTGTCCCTCTCCCCGTGCATGTGTGTGCCCCACGGTTGCAAGACGGACGGGAATGGCACGGAGTGGAGGAGGAATCGACGCGGCGGCCGTTGCTGGCTCGCACAAGAGACAGCAAGGAGCAGCACGCCTGAAGTGGAAGGGGTGTCAGCAGCAACAGCAGCAACAGCAGCAGCAGCAGCAGCAACAGCAGCAACAGCAGCAGCAGCAGCACCAGCAGCAGCGGCAGCAACAGCAGCAGCAGCAGCAACAGCAGCAACCGAGCAACCTTGAGCAGCACGCTTGAAGTGAATGCATGCCGCAGGAGCAGCAGAGTGGTGGGCGGAGCATGATACATGCCAGGGGGTGCTTGCAGGGGGGCCGTGAAGTGAGTCGTAGGGCGTCGCCGCGCAGAGGCAAGAGTCGTGACGTTTGCCCTTGCCTCCATTTGCCACTCCCATTCTGCAACTAACCAACCATTTCTTTGTGTCTGTGTTTCTGTGGTGGCATGCACGCGTGTATCTGTGAGTGTCTGCATGGCCTCCAAGCCTGCATGCGTGAGTGGCCGTGTGATGTGGTGTATCAGTGTGCACCGTCAGTGCGTTGCATTTCAGGAGCGCCAGAGGCAGCGACGCCGTGGTGGTGGCGACGAGAGCAACGGTTGCAGCAGCACAGCACAGCAGCAGACAACGAGGAACCTGGAGCACGGGCAGGCCAGGGCGCTGCATGGGGCCAAGGCGTGGTGCAGCAGCAACCGAGCAGCCTGGAGCTTCAGGGCGGTTGACGGAGTCTGGTACGTGCCAGGGGGTGCTTGTAGGGGGGGTGTGTAGTGAGTCCTAGAGCGTCGCCGCGCAGAGGCAAGAGTCGTGTCACTTGCGGTTGCCTCCACCTCTCGCCTCTTTCTGCTTCTAACCTTCCCTTGTTGCGTTGTTTCTTTCTGGCTGCCTGTCTTCCCGTGTGTGTGCCTCACGGCCTGCGAGACGGAGGCCAATGGCAGTGAGTGGACAGGGAATGAACGGGCGTCCGTTGCTCGCTCGCACGGAAGACAGCCTGAAGCGTGGCGCAGGAGCGACAGAGTGGCGAACAGTTCACGGTACGTGTGCCAAGGGATGCTTCCAGGGTGGGAGTGTAGTGAGTCGTAGAGCGTCGCCGCGCAGAGGCAAGAGTCGTGTCTCTTGCGGTTGCCTCCACCTCTCGCCTCTTTCTGCTTCTAACCTTCCCTTGTTGCGTTGTTTCTTTCTGTCTGCCTGTCTTCCCGTGTGTGTGCGTCACGGCCTGCGAGACGGAGGGCAATGGCAGTGAGTGGACAGGGAATGCACGGGCGTCCGTTGCTTGCGTTGTTTCTTCTTGTCCTTGCCTCCACCACTCGCTTGCTGCTGTTTCTAACCCTCCCTCGTTGCATCGTTTCTTTGTGGCTGCCTCTCTCCCTGTACATGTGTGTGTGTGTGTGTGTGTGTGTGTGTGTGTGTGTGTGTGTGTGTGTGTGCGTGTGCGTGTGCGTGTGCGTGTGCGTGTGCGTGTGCGTGTGCGTGTGCGTGTGTGTGTGTGTGTGTGTGTGTGTGTGTGTGTGTGTGTGTGTGTGTGTGCATCACGGTCTGCGAGGCGGACGGAAATGGCAGCAAGTCGACGGGGAATGGGCGGGTGTTCGTTGCTGGTGTGTGTGTGTGTGTGTGTGCCTCATGGTCTGTGAGATGGACGGGAATGGCACAGAGTGGACAGGGGGTGACCATCTTGCGGGCTTCGTTCCGGCCCGACGCACAGCAGCAACGTTGGTGAATGCAGCAGCACTGGTGAGTCGTAGCAGCAATAGCAATGGCGCCTTGTTTTTTTAGCCAAGTATTTTCCCCTCCTCATGCTTTGCCTTATGTGATGCCAAGCGCTCATCGCTTGTATTGCATGTGCTTCACTGCTTTCTCCTTGAAATCTCGCCACTGGTTGGTTTTGGCTCAACTCACAAGCCACAGACCCCTCCTGTTGCAGGTATCAGCAGCACACCACGAGCATCCTGGAGCAGCACTCTTGGAGCCTGGATCTCGGGCCACAGCAGGCTGCTGCAAGGGGCTCAAGGAGCTGCAGATTTTGCCAAGTAGGGGAAAACACTCAGCTGCGCCTCCCCCCTCCCTCCTCCCCCCTTCGCCCCCCACCTTCCCCCCTCCTCTTCCCACCACTCGATTCTCGCTGTGCTTATGCTTACTATTCGAATTTCTCAGTCTTGACCTGCTTTCTGCCCACATATGAGTTTCTGCCTCCAATGCTACTCCGCTCCTTGCAGCGCTTTCTGCTGCACTCATTGGGAATCCATTGCCTGAGCTTCGCTCTGCCCTAGGCCAATCCGTTTGCATTCTCCCCCCATCCATCCGTTGGCCTCGTGGAGGGCAGGGAGCAGAGCAGTAGAGCGGTGGATGTAGTCGTGTTGCGGGCGGTATAGCAGCAACATGGCAATTAAGAAAAGTCAACAGAGTCCTCAGCAGCACGCCTGTGCCATCGCTGCGATCATGGTACGGCACTATGTGCAGTGAGTGAGACAGCACATGCATGCAGCAGTAGATAATATCATGTGGAGAATGGCATCACGTTCATGTAGCCCAGCTAGTAGTTAATTCTACTGGTAAAAAAGGTCCACTGCTTCTGTCTTGCTCTCTACTGCTTCTGCTCTATTGGCCGCTTTAACCTGCTCTTTTTCCACATCTGAGTTTTTGCCTCCAATGCGGTACCATTCCTTGCTGCGCTTTCTGTTGCATTCAGTCCGAGTTCATTGCCTGCCCTCTGCCCTCTACCCTCTGCCTGAGGCCAATCTCTTCGCATCTCCCTTCTCACCGTGCCTTTCCCCCCATCGGGCCAATGGGTGCAGGCGGAAATGCGGCGACCTGGGTGCGACGATGTGCAGAATGATGACGCGACGGTGTGCGAAACGGTGACGAGCTGCGTGCGATGCTGTGCGGAATCGCCTCCTGCTGCTTCTTACCCTCCCTTGTTGCACCGCTTCCTTGCCATCCTTCCTCTGCTCTCTTCAACGCTCAAAGTGGCAGTGGATGCAGCAGCAACGCAGGGATAACAAGTGGCTGAAGCAGCTACAGAATGGTGAGAGCTATGGACTATACCACGTCTTTGTTTCCCATCTTTCCTGCTTCTGTTGCTATGTTCTTCTGTCTTGTCTACCATCTTTGTACGGTGCACATGTGTCTTTGCTGCAATGTTGCCTCTTGGCTAAGCTCCCCAACCGCTCCGCTCCAGCCCTTCTCTGCTCTCATCCCTTTCATCACAAGAAGATCGCCAGCTTTTATCCAGAGCCATCACCATGGGCAGCCGCGCTGCCAACAACATTCTTACCAGCAGCATTAGTGACTGCGGCAGGCTCTGCCGAGGAGGAGAAGTGGTACGTGCCCGGGGGTGCTTGCGGGGGTGCCGTGAAGTGAGTCGTAGGGCGTCGCCGCGCAGAGGCAAGAGTCGTGTCTGTTGTCTTTGCCACCACTCGCCTCCTCTCCTGCTGCTCCTAACCCTCCCTTGTTGCGCCGCTTCGGTGTCCGTGTTTTCTCTCCCCATAATTGTGTCTCACGTCCTGCGAGACGGACGGTCCACCACTCGCCACCTGCTGCTTCTAACCCTCTTCTATGTGTGTGTGTCTCTCTCCCCATGTGTGTATGTCTCTCTCCCCATGTGCGTGTGTGTGTCTCTCTCCCCAAGCCCAAGCCCAAGCCCAAGCCCAAGCCCTAGCCCTAGCCCAAGCCCTACCCATCTCTCTTCATGCCTCCAAGTCATACCCATCTCTCTTCATGCTTGCCTTGTGTTGCCCGTGCTTTCCATCTTCTGTATCCTGCTGTTATGGCGCCCTCACCTCTCTCCTTCTCCATGTACCTTGGCTCTGGCAACAGCTGTGCAGGAAGCAGTGGGAGCAGCAGCAGTGCATGGTAAGTGTGGGTTCTGCTCGCCTCTCAGTTCCTGCTTGCTCCACAATGGCGTTCCAATTCTTCTTTGCAGCTCCTGCAAATCTTTGATTCAAACAGGAAATGCACCCTATGA